GGAGCAATTCATTTGATGCAACAGTTCTTACAGCAAACGAAGTAAATCAAATGGCTGCAACAACATTAAGATAAACTTCTTTGAATCTAACCACAAATTCAGAATGGTTTATATTTAAACAAGGTTGATGAATCTCTCCGGATTGAAGAATCTAAGTGCTTTGTTTTCATTCTTCAACTTGGCTGCGAATAGATGTGCGTTCTCTCTTTTCCAATATTTCAGCAAATACGGATGTCATCTTAACAAAGAATAAATTTTAAGAGGATTTTCTGTCACTTAAACTGGGTTTTGGCTGGGATAGGTAAATTTGATATCTAGAAATTAAGGTTTGATTTACTAAAATATCAAATTAATCAAAATCCAATCAAAGAAGTTAAGAGAGATAAAATTCTTTGTAAGGCTAATTATCTCATTTCATTCCACAATCTCTTCTGAGAATTCCAATTAATAGCAGATACAAGTCAATAAAAAAGGTTGTATCAGCTTCTGGTACTGGAAAACATAATGAAATTTCTGTCAATCGGTCTAGTTTTTATCGCAAAAGGGTTTCTCCCGTCCACACTTAGAACTTAAACAAAAATGGTATTCGCTTTTAGAAAGAAAAGTCACAAGGCGCAAATTGAGCACCTTTGTCGCACCTTTCAGCACCAGTGATTCATTCATAGTTACCGGCAGTCTTAATTTTTCTAACTTGCCTTGGGTATAACAGGATAAAAAATTACAATATGCCATATATACTTACATGTGATGTATAGTTGGATTTTAAAGTATCAAGCTGGTCCAGAAATTTCATAGCCATGCCACACCATCGTTCGCATGCGTCAAATTCGTGTGCGCTAATATTATAAGAAGCAGGCAAAAAAATAAAAATAAAATTTGCAAGCAAAAAAAGCTTATTTCTAAGATCTTATATTAGAAGGCATTGGTATAATAGCTCGTCTTAGGCACCATGCCCCAAAAGATATCCTTGTTTATATATATAATGCATTCATACAGCCGCATATTAATCATGGTATTATAAATTGGGGAGGAACATACAAGTCTGTCTTAAATCCTCTAAGAAAAAGCATGAAACGTGCTGTGAGTTTGATTGAATTTCAGTCGAAAATATCTCAAAGTCAACCACTTTTTAACGACTGGTATAAAATAGAATGTGCTGAATGTATGCATAATATCAGTAATAACATCCCAGATGAAAACTTTTGCAGACTCTTTCAATTAACAACAAGTAGCCAATTCAATTAATTTGTATTAAAAATTGTTGTTTAATTAAGGAAAGGGCACTTGGCTCGATAACTCTTTTTGAGTTTTTTCCAAGTGTCCTAAGCTTAATTAATTTAACATATCTTTATTATTACTATTAGTATAATATATTTCAAAGCTTGAATTTGAATTTAATTGAGGAAGAAATTTAACTACTTCGATTCCTTATTGTACAAAAAGCAAATTCCCTCATACTAAAGCGTTCTGCTTTTATTCTTTACCATGTATACTTAATTGCGCACGTCTCTGTGGCCAAAATTTGAAAACTGAAAGGAGACAAAATTACCTGAAAAGATGTACTCCGCAGTTCCATGCTTTTGTCATAAGCCAAAGAATTTCCATTTCTGGATACGAATTCTACGGAGGGAATTTGAAAATGGTTAGAAATCAATGCATGTTGATATCAAGTTAGCCTTTATATTTTACTTTTGATTGAGAACTGAACTTGAACCTCAAATGCTTGTGTTAATTGAATTATCTTATATCTTTATCTACAGGGCCATCGAATAACGTAAACCAGCTGTGAGGTGAAGTGGGAAAGATTGCAAATCTGAAAGGCTAAAAGAGAATACCTAGAGGTATGTACGTAGTTTTAGGCCACAGTTTTTACCAAGTACAAGTCTTTTCTTTGAAGTGTCTGGCAATTTGTATGTTCTTTGCGTAACTTTTGAACGAAGGCCATTTTGCTCATAGAAGTTTTACCTTGGGAGCTTCCTGAATGATTTCCAAAATGTTTTGGTAGTATTGGTAAGTCTCCTCTTTGCTCTGAGGGTTGCTATTTCCACCTTCATTGATAGAAATATTGACCAGTGTGTGTAAATCTTTACTGCAATTCGAACAAGAGCAAATAATTCACGTCTTTATCTAAGCTAGGCACGGCTCTATCTTTGTGAAATGACACTCACAAAATAAGAAAAATTTATGAAAAATGATGATTTCTTCAGATCTAATGTCACGTTTTTACCTGAAGTTCTAAAGATCTTAAAATCTGAAGACATATTGATAATGAAAAAGAATCATATTATTTTAACTCATATTATAGGAGTAACGTTTCAGGGAATTTCGGCACTTTCAATTATTTGATTAAAAAGAGCTTAAACATGCTTTTGGCATGATACAATTATCTTTGTATATCTACGTTTGACTATTTCAGTAAAGATGCGAATAGTAACCAATCAAAATAATTCAGTCAAACTTCATTTGAAACTTTGAGATTTTGAGTCTTAGTACCGTTTATCTTTATGGTTCCAGCAAAGTTTTCAGTATACGTGGTAGAGATGTTACGACTCGATGAACGATATTTTGTATGATTTTCTGTCATTAGAAATTTTTTTAATTGAGACATAAGCTGTGAGTTTTCAACAACTTTCATCATTAATCTAAACTACGTTTCGAAATCAGTCGATATCCGAAAGCAAGTCTTCTGTTAATGTATTACAGCCATGTACATTTTGTACAAGCTGTTAAACCAAGACTCAAAGCAGTTGTTCAAATGCATACTGGTAGAAATGTATATGGCCTGAGTTAATTTAAAATTTCTGGGGCTGTGATTGGCTCTGCGGTGAGATTCAATTCAGCTTAAGACCTCTGCCCTATAATGTCAGGACAAACCTCAAAATAGTCAGCTACTATAAGAGCGTGCTAACTGGGCGTGTGAAAGCATACAAAATATAGTTTGCTATGCATATGATTTTTTAAATTGACAGATTTTTTGAAAAATTTTTACCTAAGTTGCAAATAGTCAGTTCTTTGGTCTTCAAGATGACACTTGATAGCCATTTTTAGCGCTTTGATCCCTTCCGGATTATGCTTGGGTGAGATTTCTAAAGCAGTTGCTGTAAGGAAAAATAATCATTTTATTATTTTGCAACATATTTTTTTTCTGTATTTTTTATGCTATCTTTCTTTGCATCATTTACATTGGTCGATACATTTAAATGGTCTAAGGCTTTTTTCTGAGTCCTTCTTTCGAAAGATTGTGCTCAACTGCCTTCTTTCTTTTGTGCCAGTTAATATGCTGTTTTATCTTTCCTTTTTACAAATCTTCAACACAGAGCTGATTATCTTTCAAATTTAGAATAACGTGCACTCGTGTTTTTTCCCTATCGTTTTCTGTATTTTCATATCATTTTCATAAACATTATTTGCTATTACTGATATTAACAAGATATACAATACTGGTGTGAAAAAACTCTGTCTGCCCGACAGTTATTATAAAATTGCTTGCCTGCAATAGTCTCGAACGTTTTGGCATCAATGCTGTGTAGATCTTTAGCCTTGTCAATGATTGTTTCAGTGCTTTTGTAACCTAGTCTTGCTTTTGCTTCGAATTCAAGGCAGATCAACATTGGCAAGGTGAGATCTGTCTTCCCTAAAAGTGGTTTTGAGAAATGCATAAAAGATCCGAACTAACAATATTTGTTGACCAGTACAACAATTATAATCAGATGCAAAAGATTATGGCTATAAATTCAATTTTATAGCCTTGAAAATAATTATCACACGATTCAGTCATGAACCTTCCTCAGTAATGTATATTTAAAGAATTATAGATGCATGTACAAACAACTGATACATTCTTTACTCAGATAGACCTTGCCTTCTTACAACAACGAAAATAAGCCAGACTTAAACGAAGCGTGTCTATTTGTCTGGATTCCAGTTACTTTTCTTCTTCTTACTAAAGTACATGACCCTCCCTTGGACATGCTGTATACAGAGAAAGCTTTCTATGGCACGGGAGTATGTTTGGATGTAAACGAAGAATAGTTGCATGAATAAATGCTGATATATGCATGATCTACACACCACTTTGGGGCTGATCTTGAACGCTTTCCTGGTATATTCGTTCGCATTTTTGAATGTAAGAAACAACATCATTCAGTATGCGCATCTAAAAAAGATTTTACATTTCCGCTGTTACACGGCAAGAAGTTCTATCGCCTGTTTCTTTCCTTTTGAACCTTTGAAGAAGACCAGGTGTGGAGAAAACAAATTGGAAATGAAGATTCAGCGCGTACTTAGTTATTTTATCTACATGCACATTGAGGATGCTGGTTTACAAAACCTATTAATTATTGTTATGCAAGATAAAAAGAAGCAGTTCTTGCTTTCATTTGAATAATCAAAGACCAAGCGGTTATCTACTACTGTACCAGAATTAAAATTGATGTTGTCTGACAGAAAAATTTACCAGTGTGTGTAAATCTTTATTGTTATATAAAAAAGAGCAATCATTTCGCGAAGAAAGAATTCTATCGACATGGCAGCACAGAGTATTCTTTGATTGAAGTGTGAATACAAAAGAAGACTACAGACCTTTTCATTTTCATCTGTTGCATTTTTCGAAGTTTCGATGCCTGCTGCAGAAGCCATCAGTAAACACGTTCGTTGTTGGACTTTGTTACATTTTGTTGGAATCAGTTGTGAAAGCTGGAACAGAATAGCAAAGTGCTCTTTTGTAGCTAGGTTGACTATGCAAGTAGACAGTTCTATGTACCAAGCACAAGGTACACATAGACTTATGAAACCAGATAATGGTAACTCTTTGTCGAGATGTATTCTTTGATAAGTAAATCGAGACCAGAAAGATAGTTTTGGATGGCACTAAAGCTAGAGATTATAAATTTTCCAAGCAAAAAATCCCTCTGTTTATAATTGGTCAAAAAGCACAAAGTCGTGCTTTTTAGAAATTTGGCTACCTCTTGCAATGAGAAATTTTGCTTTCATTTTATCTCCACTAATGTGTGTATTCATTTGGAAAAGCCTTGCATATTGAATTGGGTTCCAAAAAACTTCGAATTGTTATGTCAGGGATCTTGAGTATTAAATTCCTAATACAAATTCCTCCTGTATCTCTTTAGTCTAAAATGGCTGTGCAGCGTAAATAAGGTGAAGAATTTTTCCTTGCTTTAGGACATCCTTCTCATAAAGAGAGATTATCACTTTGATACTTAGATATTGATTGGCAAACGTAATGTGAAATGACGTTTCCACAAAGTTTGCTCTAAATCAAATTCCTTTGAAGGGGTGTCGCTAAGCAGTATAGCATGGCTAAGAAATTGTTATAAAATTATAGAATTTGTGAATTTGTTTTGGTTTTATTTGCAAGTTTTGGAAACAAAACCAACTTTCAGTGAATTGTTGGGGAAAGAGTCCTTGCTTATGTATTCAAATCTCAATTGATTGATAATATGATATAGCAGAACTATCTGATTTTAAAGATTATATGCTCCACATTTAGCAATTCAAAAATAGATTTTTGTAGCGTCTTCATCGTGCCATTATGTTGCTTATCGATGTTTCGATGGAACAATATTTTTTCAAGATTGTTTCTGCCTACTGTACTGTACTGTACTGTCCTCTCATGTCCAAGTGATGGAACCACAATGCTTCATTACATAATCTGATTAAACATTTTAGAAAAACCACGTTTATGAAGACGCTTCGCGAGATACAGCTACATGAACGTAAAATTCTCTTTCTTACAGCAAGGGCAGATTTTGTAACAATAGGTTCTTTGGTTTGTTTACATTTTGTTGATTAGCCAATCAGAGAGCTCTATTTCTATGGCGTCATCTGATGGTAATGGCGGATGGAGGGGTTTGCTGTGGAGAAAACTACACCCTCGTTTTTTCCTCGCGACGAAAATATACTTTGAGGAAAACTCGAGAATTTTTTCACCCGTATAGAACGATAAATTTTACATATAATTTTATTGGCACTAAGCTCTGCGTTCTATGCTCTTTGTGTGATCACTCGCTATTGACAGCCCTTTTTGCACAAAAAGGCGGAAGGAGGGGTTTGTTGTGGAGAAAACCACACCGTCGTCTTTTCCTCGCGACGAAAATATACTTTAGCAAAAACTGAAAATTTTTTGCACCCGTATAGAACGATGAATTTTACATATAATTTTATTGGCACTAAGCTCTGCGGTCTCTGCTCTTTGCGTGATCGCTCGCTATTGACAGCCCTTTTTGCACAAAAAGGCGGAAGGAGGGGTTTGTTGTGGCGAAAACCACACCGTCGTCTTTTCCTCGCGACGAAAATATACTTTAGCAAAAACTGAAAATTTTTTGCACCCGTATAGAACGATGAATTTTACATATAATTTTATTGGCACTAAGCTCTGCGGTCTCTGCTCTTTGCGTGATCGCTCGCTATTGACAGCCCTTTTTGCACAAAAAGGCGGAAGGAGGGGTTTGTTGTGGAGAAAACCACACCGTCGTCTTTTCCTCGCGACGAAAATATACTTTAGCAAAAACTGAAAATTTTTTGCACCCGTATAGAACGATGAATTTTACATATAATTTTATTGGCACTAAGCTCTGCGGTCTCTGCTCTTTGCGTGATCGCTCGCTATTGACAGCCCTTTTTGCACGTCCTCGACGACCCTCTGATGACTAGGCCCTAACCTAACCAATCACGCTCCGCGATCAAAAACAACAAACTCCAATTGCACTGCGAGCAGATGAAAGGAATATTTCAAAACGGGTCTTATAATGTTTCTAAAATTAATTTCCAACCTAAAATAGCTATATGGATGGATCTGCAGCGCTAGCCCTTAGGGGGAGGGGGCGCTAACCAGAATATCGACGGGGGCGGAGAGTGAACAGCCAATAAAAAGGATGTTATTAAACAATTGGTTGGATATTTAACACTAGACTTATTGTTAAATATCCAATCAGCAACACAAGATTCAATAATTCAATCATAAACGCACTGAACAGGTAAAGAGCCTATTGTTATTTCTACACGGTTGACAGACGGAACATAGTGCCTTAAATTTGTGCTGCACGTGGTTGTGTCTCACTCAAAGAAGCAAGGCGCGAGGCGCGATGTTCGACTTATGCTACTGGTCATTGCATTTGGACATTATGCCTCTGCCAACTCCAGATTTCTGTCAACAATTCCTCTATCTTGGGGCATTCATCATCATCAAAGTCTTCAATTTCTGAGGCTAAGTTGACTTCATCATCAACAGCTACTCCACCGCTGGCACCTTTCACCTCTTCGCCCTCGACGCCATCATCAGGCTCGTCACCCTCATCGCTCTTAGATCCATCATCAATGTCGAACACTCCTTGCCTGGCCTTCTCTGTCAGCTCTTCCAGTCTTTTCAGGAGAGTCTTCTCACAGATCTGGCATGTGCTGATATTTGGGATGATACACTCTACATGAAATGAATGCCCACATCCAAAGACACGCCACACAGGACTATCATTTTCACAACCAGGTCTGTCACATTTTCTGTCAGAATTTTAGGAATAAAGCTTAAATACTTGGGGAATTGCATCTGTTTCAAAAACTTTGATGAGGAGGGTTGCCATGTGCACTACTTGAGTTTGTGCGTCAGATGATGGACGTTGGTGAGTGTGTATATTGTGAAAGTCATCTATAAATAATGTGATGAGTTTTTTACTCTCTTTTGCATCTTGAAAAACTTTGTGAACTCTGTTTAGGTGGGTTGATGATAGTTCATTTGTAACATTTGTTACAGTGTCAGGATGTGCTGCTAGCCCCATTTTCCTCAATGTCCCTACCCCTCTGTCTGAGACTCCTAGACCTCGCAGGGTCCTGGCAGTGGCCACCTGAAACCAGTTTGCTTGCTGGGACTGGCCATACATAAGTGTATAAATTATAGACATTGCTCTTAATTCATTAATTTCTTTTCTCTTATTTGACTGTCTATTTGTTTCCATAGCATTTATGACATAGTCAAATATTTTTTCAGCACCAGCTTCTCTACATAACTTTTTGAAATTCAAAGGGTCAGACACTGGGGTTCCCCGTTTGCCAAACTTTTTCATGCATAGACTCTTTAATTTTTCTACTTCTGCTTTTAGATCACACATGCTGGAGACTTGGGAAACAAGCCTGTCAAAAACCACCTTTGGGAGCTGCACATTATCTCCATCAATGATTACCATGGAATCGATTTCCTTACAAAATACAGTTTCTTTACCACAACCAGGACTTTCTAATTCTTGGGAGCTCTGCCAGAGCTTTTGACTTGGAGAACTTAGAGTAATCGTACTTTCTGAAACATGGGATGACTGTGAATCTTTTTCATTCTCATTGATTTGGGATTGTAGCTAGACGAAACAGTAAAATTTGGTACAATAAAGACGTAATGCCCTTCTTGACATCAATGTTATGTGTTTTGGTAGCTTTAAATATTTTATATTTGTTTTGTCACTTAAGTAATCAGATATGACAAGAATATGCATCCAGAAATAGCTGCATTCACATATTTTTAAGCAACATCTATATAATGACCACAAAGGGCAATAGGATTTTTTCCAAGAATACTTTGTTCATAAAAAGTTTTAAGTTTAAAAAAACAATTCAATTGTACATGCCTTATTTAGATATATGTACAGTAATAGAGAGATAAGGAAGATGATTCCTACCACAACTTGATCAGCTGACAACACACATTGTTGAGTTGATTGTGTATATTCGCGTTTCTCAATCGCATCCTGACATTCCAAACAAACTGACCGTATTTTGTGGCTTACAAATCCACGCTCCTTTGCAAGTTTTTTTATAAAAACTAAATATTTATGTTTAAGCACCTTCACTTTATCTATATCTTTCTTCTCAACTGAATTCCATGCATCATGAAAAGGGTTGCTGCACAATTTTGGTTTGCCCATCTCTAAATCATTTTAATTTCGATTTAAATAGCTATTTTTTGAGGATTTGAGGTGCAACACAAAAAGGGCGGGAAAAGTAATCTGCCATCTTTGAATAACTTCGTGTTGGTTGCGAGATTGTTTACTTCCTTTTTTCGATGTTCAAGCTCCGCTCCTGCCGATATATATTTTAGGTTGGAAATTAATTTAAGAAACATTGTAAGACCGGTTTTGAAATATTCCTTTCATCTGCTCGCAGTGCAATTAAATTCCACTGTTGTTTTTGATCGCGGAGCGTGATTTGTTAGGTTAGGGCCTAGTCATCAGAGGGTCGTTGAGGACGTGCAAAAAGGGCTGTCAATAGCGAGCGATCACGCAAAGAGCAGAGACCGCAGAGCTTAGTGCCAATAAAATTATATGTAAAATTCATCGTTCTATACGGGTGCAAAAAATTTTCAGTTTTTGCTAAAGTATATTTTCGTCGCGAGGAAAAGACGACGGTGTGGTTTTCTCCACAACAAACCCCTCCTTCCGCCTTTTTGTGCAAAAAGGGCTGTCAATAGCGAGTGATCACACAAAGAGCATAGAACGCAGAGCTTAGTGCCAATAAAATTATATGTAAAATTTATCGTTCTATACGGGTGAAAAAATTCTCGAGTTTTCCTCAAAGTATATTTTCGTCGCGAGGAAAAAACGAGGGTGTAGTTTTCTCCACAGCAAACCCCTCCATCCGCCATTACCATCAGATGACGCCATAGAAATAGAGCTCTCTGATTGGCTAATCAACAAAATGTAAACAAACCAAAGAACCTATTGTTACAAAATCTGCCCTTGCTCTTTCTTACTAAATCACTACAATTTTGTCTTGGTACTAAAATTTATTGACCAAGCCAAAAAACAGTTAATCCTGTTACGTATTTTTGGTCATATGGTCCTCTATGGTCTGTCTTGTTTAAAGACATATGAAAAACAGCATTGCAACTTGCAAGACTCACCACAATGGGAAAAGTTAGCAAGGAGGTAGGATTCTCACACAGCTCCAAGAAAGAACATCTTCGGGAGATAAATGGGAAGTTATTCGAAGTATCCTTAGTTTCGCTATGGTTGTAAATTAGCAGCAAATGTGTCTGAGTACCTCTGGTTGTGTATACCAATATTTATACTCTTTACAGATCAAGATAGATTAACTATCAACTTGACACAAAATTCTCAAGCATTATATTAGCAATGTAAAGCTCACCTCAAAGCATAGCACGAAATAACTGAACATTTCTTTATGACTGTCTTGGCAGCTGAGCCCCAAGTTCCATGCTGTAATAAGGCAATAACTTTTGTGAACAATTTGTCAAATTTATGTAGCAGAGTCAAGTAGATTGTCTTTCTCTCGATTGTAGCAGATTGCATCGGTACAGAGCAGCTTATAAAATACTTTACTAACGCAGCGCTACAACACAACACAGCATAAAACAAAACAAGAAAAAAAACAAAACAAAACAAAACAAAGCAAAGCACAGCAAAACAAAACAAAACAAAACAAAACAAAGGAAAACAAACCAAAACCAACTTCATCACACAATATTTCTGAAACTTGCTAATTTCATATCATTCTTTGAATCGCATTTGTGCTTTTACCATTTGCGGCCAAGGTAGAATTCAAATGTCTGTAGGCAGTTCACAATATGATTATTATCAAGCATGAGTCTTTTCAGAAACGTGCTAGTGAATTGTAATAGTTTCTAAATTTGTAAGATGTGATGGGGCCAGAACCAAGCACAATACTTAGTGCATTGATCATGCCTTTCTTCAGTCGCTAGTGTTTTTCTGTAGAATGCACATTCACTCGCCATACCTCCCCTCTCGCCTGTCGTATACATTAATACCGGTGGAATTTATTTCAGTGAAGCAGGGCAACTGAAAATTAATTCCACCGAATTTTTTCAAAACTGAAATATTTTGAAACCGAATTTTTCAAACAATAGCAAAATCTCGTTTCACACCGATGGGCATCCAAAAAAACATTGTTTTCCTTCAATTTTGTTATCAATTTTCAGTTTCTCATTCTCCCTCGTCATCAGCCAAGCTCAACTTCACTTTCTTCTCTTTCGGTCTCTTTATCCAAGTTCTCTAAATAGGCTAAACTGATGCTTCTCCTTGCCCTTCATCATTTCTCTTAGTTATTTCTTTCTAACGTTCCAGCGGTTTCAATTTGGACGCCTCATTTTTTAACACAAAATCGATCATAATATCATATCCCTCGTGATCGGATAACATTGACGATCGAAAACAAGAAATGAGATAAAAAATACCTCCTCTAAATAAGAGTTTTTGACAATCTGGCTTTGACAATCAATCAGTTCCATTTATTGGGCTGACATCAAAATTTTCTTGTAACTTTTAAGATTGCCTTCCAGATAATTTTATGTTGAAGATAAAAATAACTTTGCTTTACTTGTTTCATTACTTTACTTACCGAAGCTTTTTCATTCTACTCTCACCGAAATTTACACCGAAATTTCAAAAATATAATCGAAGTTAATCCATTGAAATTTTTGTACCAGATTTTTTGGTACTTAATGTATGTTTTACCTTGGGTTCTTAACACTTTGTTGTTGTTAAAGTTACGCTTCGTTATGATTCTGTGACAATCTTTGAAAAAAGAAATGTACAGGTAAATGGTCACAGCTTCACGTTCACTGAACCAGAATAATTCCGGAAAAATTTGTTTCAGACCTTTTTTGAATTTTTACCGTCCATTTCCGCAAAGACAAAAACGTAATGAGGTAAAGATACGAATTATCGTCCAATTCTAAAATAAGTTACCGGAACTGAATCAGAGAAAGACGGCATATGTTTATTGCTTTGAAAAGCATTTCTGCATTCATTAAAGCATTTATCAAAGTCGCTAAACTCATGTTTACAGCTGATACTTAAATAGAATATAACAATAATCCGTTCTAAGTATTGTTCAATCAGAAAAGTTACTATTGCCTTCTAGTTTAGATTAGAAGTTAAATCAATCAGGCACAATCTAAAGAAATCGCAATAAGAATTGCTTCTGATAACAACAAAATGTTCAAAAGTTGTCAAATAGTCATTAAATTTTACAAAAGAATGCTATTTTGCAGACACTCATTGTCCAACAGACATAACACTAAATACCGAGAATACTGTTCTGGGGTCTTTCATGTTTTCACAGTCAAGATCAATATATTTGTGCGTTATTCAAGCAAGTCTTTTTTTCTGTCCAATTTTGACACTTGAAGAGGTTGTCATAAATGACGTTTTACTTGGGAGCCAGTTAAAAGAAATCATGTTGACTTTGTCATTTGCATTTGCGTCGTGGTAGGCGTGGGGGACTTGAATTTTGCTTGTAGAAGCTTCCAGAAAAAGTAGACGAAAGGGTTGCATAGTGAATTTGATAGCAGCAAGTATTTGATTGGTTTTGGGACACTTTCTGTGATAAACGCAAAAACACAAAACGGAATCGTGCAAATCATGAAGGTTACCGTAAGGACGACTGAAACGACAACAAGCTGCACATCTTTACTTGCTTGTGTTGCGTTGTCTTGTTGTGCGGCTATGCTAATGGCCCTACCACGAACTACGACGACCCGATAGATGATAAATGAGTAAACGAAGATCATAACACCACTGTATGCATACATGATGATGCTGAGTATCCGCCTTACGTAATCCATGCTGTCAGCAACAAACAATGGCATAAGTGTCAGA